TTAATTGTTCCAATTTCTCAATCTCATCGTTATAATATTCATCTTGTTTAATTTTTTCTTCAAAATATTCAGGAGGTGTTTCAAGGCTCTCTGAGCCCAGGTCCTCTGGACCATAAAGAGGAATATTCTCCTGTTTTTCAACTTTTTTGGGATATAAATATCTCATTATAGCCTTTTTAGTAATTGGTCCGTTATATTTAAATTCATTCAACAATCTGGAAAACTCTTTCACATTCTGCATATATGTTGGATAAGAACCGTCTCCAAAATTTTCTAAAATATTTTCTAATTCTGAATTAGTGAACTTTAAAGATTTCAATGAATTAGTTGTTATACTCATTTATTATAAAATAAAAAAATAAAAAAAATAAATTTAACTTAGTTTTAATTTTACGTAAGAAGTCAATTTTTTATATACTGTCATTTGTAGGTATTATTTCTATCAGATAAAAATTATTTTTCTATTTGTCATCTTTATATAAAGATAAAAAATATTTTTGATTAATAAGGAATTAATTTCATTTTATGTCTTATAATGTGCGCATATGTATTTAAAAGGCATTCATTGAATTGCTTTTCAATCTCTTTCTTTTTTTCATCTTCGAATATTATATCATTTTCATGTTCGAAGCTTGTAAGTTTGTTATCTTCAAATATTATATTAGTTTCATATATCAAATTATGATATCGGTCATATTCTTTTAAGTGATAAATAAATACAAAATTTACGGTTCCTTTAATTTTAAATTCAAAATTAATTTTACAACAGCTTTGTGGATCAATTAGTAAATCAATCAAATAATGTTCAAAATCAGATATTATTCTTTTTCCATACATTTTATATTAAATAAAAAAATCTAACTTTATTTTTTCGGAGTTTTGTGACGAAGTGCGAATCTTCACTTCGTCAAAAATATATTCTTTTTATTAATGGTAATCTAGGAATTGTAGGAATAAAAACTTTTTATAAATTATTCATAAATTTTTAAAATCTGCTATTCGGAAGTATGTTCAAAAATCATTCAATTATGTGAGAATTCTTACGATTACAAAAAAAGTCACACAACCCGCATCATATACTACTTTGGTTCTCTAAATTTTGTTTTCTGAAATTACTATATTATTATCTTTATAATATATCAAAAATCCAATATATTAAAAAATATCCTATATTTTTCCTATGTAATTAAGTACATTTTGCATCTTCCATATATAGGAATCTTTGTTTTAACGTTTATCAGCTGCAATATAATGCTGTGAAATAACAATAGCTCTCTATTCTCTTCAACTACTTATATATTCTTTTTTGAAAGAAATGTAAATTGTATTCCGATTTCCTAAGGTGATTTTTCTATTTTCTATTATAATCATTCGTATTCACATCTAGTATTATATAATAAGCATATTGTATCAAAAAATTATCCGTTCAATTTTTAGATATGAAAAATAGATCCTTTTATTAATGATATATGTATGAATAATGTTATTAATTCTGATTTTATACATAGTTCTAATTTTTTATATATTGAATTTAATTCAATAATTATTAATAAAATATCTGTTTCTATCATTATGGTAGATTCTATACATAATACACTATCTCATTCATATAGGACGAACTTAGTTAAATCGCTTCCATAATGTGAAAATGCGCTTCAAATTTGGAAAAATTAACCTTATTTTCGTTGGACGGCATCTAAAATTTCATTTAATTTTTTAAATTAATAGTTATGATGAGTCTCAATAGTGCCAATATAATTTTCTATCCATGTGTATTATAAATCCGTAAGAAAATAAAACCAAAAGTGATATTAGGGAAAACCGCAACCACTTTTTTAAATCACGATTTAAATATATAAATCGCGATTTTTTAGAAAAATCGCGACTTTTTTAAAATCGCGTTTTTTAATGAATTGCGATTTTATTGTGGTCGCGATTTTTCAAAAAAATCGCGATTTATATGGAAAATCGCGTTATTGGTTCAATCTAAAGATCATTATTTAAAAAGTGAACTAAAAAATATAAATATAAGAATAAAATAAAAATTGTAATAAGAATGTTATAAAAAGTTTTTTTAGAGTTGAGTTGCCGATAGGCTTGAGCAAATGTATTTTTATTGCTAAAGGTTTTTTTGTTAGATTTATGTAATATTTTTTTAGTTAAGGATACCCTTACGTGTCAGATTTTTTGCGCATACGAAGAAGTCATGCTAGACATGAGCTATAAACCTGAAATTTTAGCAACATATTTAAAACTTTTTAAACTACAATACACTTTAATATTCAAGAACAAAAATATTCTTTTTAGAAATTACATAATTATTTTATGTGAAATCTATATAAAAACATATTTTGCGAGCGTAACTTTTTTCTTTATAAGCACCTTATATGACTGATAAACTGTGAAGGCACATAATTGTTAATTCATAGAGTTGATATGTTTCCAAAATTGAGAGGAAATTTGAAAATTGAATACCCTTTCAATTCAATTTTCAAAAGATATCAGCTCCTTCAATAATTGAAGGACGATTTTGATCATTTGCTCTTAAAACAAGTATGCCATGGAGAAAAAAGTTACGCTCGCAAATCTGAAATATAACTATCATATAAAAAAATTAAATTTCTAATTTTTACTCTATAGATATTATTGGCCACTTGTGTAATGCATAAAAGTTTATGTCATATGCATACATTTGGAAGTATGGGAGACGAGGGAAATTACTTCTATGAGGGACTAGGATTTTTAAAAATTTCTCTATCGGACTCACCATTCAATTTCTCGAAAATTAAAAAAATCAATAATAGCTAAAATGTATTATGCATAACAAATTTTAATGTTACACGGTATTCTTTGAACTTCATGACATGAATTTTCTTTATATTATTTTTTTTTGGATTTTCTATGATTTATGCGATAGGCTGGAACAACATTGTAAGTGCAATGATATCATTTATAGAGAAATCTAAAACTTCAGCATTCAGAACTCGCAACCACAAAAATATTCATTTGCTAAGTAAGTAAAGTTGATTAAGTTCGACACTTAGCTTTTATACGTAAAACCAAGTGTGTATTGTTATTCTTGTTAAATTATTGAGAAAAAAATAAATTGTAAGAGAAACGATACTGATTATTGAAATAATATTGAGGGTAGCTGCAGATTTCTTCATTAACATGCCGGAAATTTGTTAATCTTGGTTTCTATCATAAAATCTGTCGAAGAATCTAAAAACGGAGATATGAAATAGAGATCATGTAAATCTAGAGTATCCTGTCAGAAAAATAGACTAAGCATGTAACCCTTTTTTGGTCATAAACACTTTTTACCACTTAGTCATACAGATGATCATTAAATTTAAACGAGCACTTTTTGTCAGAATTTATTCTTTTACAAAGACAGAAGATTTTAGTATTATTTAATATTAGTGCTGTAGCAAAATTCAAAAAACGGTGAAAATTCAGTGAATTTGTGAATTCACATTTTTTCGACATTTTTCTTGATATATCCATGCACATTAAGAACACAGCTTTGATACGCTTAAAAAAGCATATTTCATATGAAATTGTTAAAGAAATAAACAATTTATATAAAAATTGCACTTATGGGCAGTTTAGATATATAATTATATATAACATATATACAAATCCATAGACAAAGTGCAATAACTACAATGTTGTAGAAAATTACAGCAGAAATACTGACTTTTTGAAGGATAATAAGAATTCTTCTAAATGTTGTATTTTTATAATTTGATTGATTTTTTTACTATTTCATTAATCTTTTATGAATAATAATTATTTTTAATATATGTGCTATTAAAATTTCAAATTTTGACTAATATATCTAAGTTATCTGAACGAAACATTTAGAAAATATCATACTTACATTGAAATAGCAAGTAGAGCATATTAATAGCAAGTTTCTTGGCTTTATATCTATCATCTATTGTTGTTTGATCAAACAAAATTCACTCTATTATATGGTGTCAATTAATTAAAACAATTTTTAATAGTTATTTATTTAGTGCGAATAAGTGCAAACTCATAAATGAATAACTTAATAGTAGAAATGAATTATCTGATATAAATCTCACATTTTGTCCATCAGAAATACTTTAATTGCATACGCATAACTATTAGTAATACGTCTGGAGTGTCAATTAATAACAATCCCACAACAAGTAAAATTCAGATTTTTATTAAACTTATTTTTTCCTAAAAGTTTTCTCAAATTACTATATATACATATGTGGATAAAATAATAGTAATATTGTAAAAAATTAGATAATTTTTTTTATTTGAGAACCTCTCAAAAGTTCATTCAATTTATCAATTGTTTCAGTTTGATGTATATTCATTTCTGGAGCCTAAAACTTTAGCAATCATGACAATATCATATTCTCTTTCTAACTACGCAATGTAAGGGTATCCTTAATGAACTTTAATCCTTTTGATATAAGAATATTAAAGGTAAATTATGATTAATTAGTGCAGTAAAGTAAGACTTCAAGAATTTTGACCAGTAAAGTGGGATTGAGGTATTTGTTATCGAGATTGTTTGATTTTAGATCTCTGATTTCGGCAAGTATGCAGAAAAACCATATTGTGAGCAGTCTAAAATGGATAAACAGCCATTCTAGATTCAAAAAATCTTTGTGAATTGCTTTGTTATTGAATTTAATTGCGACCTTTTCGCTTAATGAGGTCCAAAATCATGGTTCCGATTTGTTCTATGTTCGCGATTGATAAAGAAAATCGCGTTTAATTTTGATCACAATTTTCCATAAAAATCGCGATTTTTCTAAAAAAATCGCGACCACAATAAAATCGCAATTCATTAAAAAACGCGATTTTAAAAAAGTCGCGATTTTTCTAAAAAATCGCGATTTATATATTTAAATCGTGATTAAAAAAGTGGTTGCGGTTTTCCCTATTGGTCATGAGGGAAAAAATTTCGTAATTTTTAGAAAAACTGCCAAAAATTTATTTTTCGAGGACTCTGAATGGCAGTATCCCTTGATGAGGTCAATGTCCTCATCCTGCGATACCTAAAGGAAAGCGGCTTCGATCATACAGCATATGTTTTTGAAAATGAATCGTTTTTAGCTTCATCAAACGTTAATCTCGCGAGTATACCTCCTAATGCGCTTATAGCAGTACTTCAGAAGAGCTTAATATACATGAAGAACCAGAAAGCAATTCAGAATGCAAGAAAAGATCCAAACAACAAAATCCACAAAGATTTACTCGAATTAGAGGAGAAATTCCCGATTAAAGAAACGCAGTTTGTCGATGTTACTGAGTCACAGCTCATCGCATCAGCATCAATTCAGCATCCATATCGACCTCAGTCAGAGATACAAGAAACAATCAGTTTATCGCCATCGGTTGCCTCCATTCTTGCTAAGCATACAGCTGATGTTTATTCTTGCTGCTGGTCGCTTGATGGATCCCATCTCGTGACAGCTGGCGCTGACGGAGTTTCCATTATTTGGACAATCGAGAATGGAAAGCCCGTTTCTGACCAAAACATCAACGTTCAGTTCAAACCCGAATCCGTCGATCATGATTTTTCAGACGTTTCTATTTCATGCGAGAATTTAATCGCATTAGGCAGTTTTGATGGCTGTGCTTACATATGCGATATGAACGGCAACCAATTACATTGCTTAGAAGGCAAAGCGTTTATTTACGGCGTATATTTTTCTCCAAATGGAAAAAAGTTATTAACAATTTCAGCCGATAGATCAGTAATTGTCTGGTCATCCGACGGCAAACAATTAAACAAGTTCGATATGCATTCAGACGCTATACTTACCGCAGGCTGGCGCAATAATAATGTTTTTGCCACGGGAGGAGCCGACGGAAACATCGTTGTCTACGATCTTTCGCTTAATTCTACAGAAATACTAAAGGGCCATACGTCCAAAATTAATAAAATCGCATGGTCTGTCAATGGAATCCTCGCATCTGGAAGTTACGATAACCAAATCCGTATCTGGCGTGAGGACGGAACTTGCAGTAATGTTCTCAATGGCCACACAAAGCTGATCTCTGATTTGAAGTGGAAACCAAACAGTGACAGAATTCTCGCTTCAAGTTCGACCGATCAGACAGTAATTATGTGGGATGCTCAGACTGGAACACAACTTAATTCGGCTCAGCACCACAAAGACGACATTTTGTCGATTGATTTCTCTTCATCAGGTGCTTTTTTGGCATCTGGCGGTTACGACGGTATCGTTTCTGTATCTGACGTGGCCAACTCGAAACATGTTGTTTCTTTCGAGGGAACTTCGAAGATTTATGATTTGAAGTGGTCGCCGGACAATGAAAGTATCGCTGTTTGTTTTGCTGATTCTACTGTTGCAATTATTCATATGAAAATGTATATAAACAAATAATTTATTTATATTTTTTATATTAAATTGTAAAAAATTCTTTATTAATCATTGTCTTTGCATGAGAAAACTATTCTTCAACTATGGTTGAAGTTTATGGTCGAAAAATATGTTGAATTTCAGATAACAATTCTTATCTAACAATAATATTTTAAAATATATCTATGCCCTGAGATTTTTAATCTAGATATGAACCTTTTCCTATTTTTGATTAATTGGACGATAGGAGAAGTTTGGTCTTTTTACTTTTTTTTGGAATTTCCGCCACATATCTATACAAGTGTTGCTGACATATTTTGAAACACTTCATTCTAAATGTCAAGTTCTTCAATGTTTTTCTTTGTTCTATTGTTTTATAGTTTTAAATGAAAATTAGACATCAAAATTTAATAATAGGTTTTTTTCTATATGCATCAGGGAAATATTTGTTTTAGCGTTTCCTTACACGAAATTTGATTGAAGGAACAATATCAAAGGTTGGACCATAATATTTGATTCTGAAATGGCCATTTCCAAGATTTCCGACAGACTTAGTACAATTAGGGAGTGCTATAGTTTCATTACCTCCAAGCATGATAGGTTTTTTAAAAATGTAACCAGAATAATTTCTGCAACCAGGATGACCTGAAATATATGAGCTTCCACCACTCCCTGGAGCATCTGAATCTCGCCCTTGATTCTGTATTGCAGTGCCTCCCCAATATCCTCCTCCAGAGCCGCAATTTCCTTCAGCACCACCATCTGCATAATAATATTTGCTCCCTCCATTTTGACCAATTCCTTTTTCGAACCCATCAGTTTGTGTTGCACCAATTGCCGTATACACAGGTCCTTTTCCATCTCCTCCAATTAATCCACCTGCATAGCCGCCAGAATAGCCTCTATAGCTCCCACCGCCCCCTGCAGAAACTAATATTCGTGATTCGATGTCACTTTTTTCAAGAAAAACTGAAGTCGCTCCACCACCCCCAGAACCTGAATCACTATCTCCATATGCGCATATTCCTCCATTTCCCCCACCGCCACATCCTCCCTTCATTATGGTTTGGTAAGATGGATGAAATGTAGTTCGCCCTTTTCCTCCGACTACAACATATATTTTTGTGTTAGATTTGAATTTGATGTATCCTGATGTGTATCCACCACGTCCTGCTTCATTTTCATTACCTCCGCCTGCAGCTCCCCATGCTTCAAACAAATATAACCCTTTTGAAATAGGAATTTCATACGGTTCGCAGTCTTCCCTATATGGATATTCCCATTGCCGAAGACTTTTATCAAATATGGATATGATCAAGAATGAGTTGATAATTATTTTTTATATTTTCGATAGAATACTCTCAATCATATACTCTTTTACTTTTAAAAGTATATTTTATAATTTATGTAATGCTATTAATACAAGCTATTCGTGAATTTTTCTGGGCAATTACCTATGCGAAAACGATGATAAAGATAATTGAAGTAAAGTCATGACAATTCGTATCAGTTTTGAATAGTTTACGTAATTATTAGTAATCAATTATTGGAATAGAATGATTATAAATACTCTTCTTCTAATTGTCTAATATATTCATTTAAAATATCAAATTAAACATCTCTAAATTTGCAAGACAGGAATTGAATGAAATTTGATGTGTTGTCACTTTTGTAATAGCGAAGCGATATACTATTATAATTTATTTATTCAAAACAAGATTTATAAGTATTTTTACGGGATGTTATCATATCCGATTTTCTCAGATCTATCATCACCAAATCTCTTTCTAATGCAGACAAAAATTAAAATTCCTATGATACATGCTCCAGAAACACCGAGAATTACGTACAGAACAATTAAGCCTGCATTCACTGATTTCTTTCCAATCACTCCATCAACAGTGATATCATAATTCAATTTCTCTATTTTGATGATATTTTCATTGATTTCTTTCTTTCCAGAAATAAGAATCGATTTCTTATCTTTCACTCCATAGAATTTGATCGAATTGATCTTATTTGTCAAACTTTTCATAGAATTATTAACAAAAATATTAATTTTTCCATTCAAATATTCAAATGTTACGTAATTAAATTCATTTCTATCTTTGTAATGAATAGAAATTCCATCATCTAAATACAAATCTCCTTTTGCATACTCATTCTCATCAACAGCAACTAATAACTCAATGTTCTCTTTCATCTGATCATAAATTGTTTCTTTTGAGTTTACAAAAACCGTTGTTATCGTTCCACCTCTCAAAAACATTTTAGCGTGTTCATTGACATCATTTTCTATTGATGACGAATTCAGTATTTCTCCTGTTTCTATGTCATACTAAATACCCAGTGGTTTTGTCACTTTTGTAGTTGATGTATTTGGGGTGACAATTGGACAAACCATTACTTTTTCATCGAGTAACAATTGGTAATTCACATCATGATCTATATCATTGAAAGTGTACCATAAAGGAGTAACTAACGGCTTCAAAGATTTCGATGCTTTGTAAGCGTTTGTGTAATAAAGAGGGAACATCTTATATCTCAATTTTGTTGATTCCATCATTCCATCAAATATTTCATTGTCTTTGTACAAATACGGTTCTCTGTAGTTCACATTTATTGCACAGTGCTGTCTGAAGAAAGGATAGACAGCAGCACCAACTTGGAACCATCTTGCGTGCAACTCATCACTGACATTTCCGGTGAAACCACCAACATCAGATCCAGTGAAAGGAAGGCCGTTCAAATTGGATGAAATCAACATGTCTAAAGATAACCTCAAATGCTCCCATGATGCATCGTTGTCGCCTGACCAGTGCCATGAAAACTTCTGTGATCCAGCAAAGAAAGATCGTGTTAATACAAATGGTCGGCGGTTTGTCAAACCGTTAAAAGTGCCACTTGTCATAAACAAACCATAACTTGAGTGAATTTCTCTTGATTCTATTTTTCCATTGAGATTGAGCCAATCTTTGTGGTTCGTGCCTTCGATTCTCTGGAAAACAGCAATCTCGTTCATGTCATTCCATACATATACGTTGGCCGGCCAATTAGTGAACTGACCACTCCACCAATTTCTTACATCTTTTCTGAAGAAATCCGGCCAACTGGAATCACCTGGCCAGCATGGAGCAATGGCTTGTTGATTACTGGAATTTTTGACAAAATAATCGTTGTCAAATGCCTGTTTGTAAACTGGATGTGACAGATTTGTTGGCAAATGTGGATCAGTGATTCTGATGACAAATCTGTTCTGTTTCTTCCTGTCGTCGAAGAACTTCTGAGGATCGGGGAACCATGTGTAGTTGATAGTGAATGGAGCGAAATCTTGAAGGTGGTCAATGTCTAACCAGATGGAATCGTATGGGAATTTGATTTCGTTTAATTTACTGAGAATTCCTTCAACTTCCTGCTGACTCTTGTAGCCGTATTTGCTTTGATGATATCCAAATGCAAATGCAGGTGCTAATGGTGGTAAACCCGTGATTTCGGAATATTCTTGTAAATTTTCTTCCAATTTATTGGAAAATACAACTAAATCTATGAATCCACCTTCTGAAACAAACTTTGCAATGCGTCCTGATGCTTTTGTATTGATTTGGATGAACATATCAGTTGGATTCATCCAAAAAACAGTTGGAACTATGTCGAAATCTGGACAATGGCCGGATAACATAGGAACAAAGCCATACATGGCATAATTGTCTCTTGAATAGTGTCTTTCGGAGCTGGAATTAGTATCTACTAAATTTGCTGGATATGTGCCTTCTGAGAAGCCTGTAAGACGTGCATTTGCTGATAAAAATGAAATATCAACGCCAACAGCTGTTTTTCCGTGTGGATACGTTTCAATATAGCCGTCATATTCTGTATTTGGCGTTTCTGAGCCATCTTCTATGAAAACAAAGTTCTCTGAATTGATTGAAATGTAATTTCTTCCATCTCTTGAAATTGTAATGAAAAATGGATCAAAATTTATCAGTGCAGATGTGTTTTTCTTGGCGTTTAATACGTCAAATAGTCTGTGTGTTTCATATGTAACTTCTTCTTTATTTGTAATTTTGTTTTCGTCAACAATTAAATTATCATGTGAAATATTAAAGCGATAAGAAGAAAGTTTAGTGCCAGGATCAATTCTTATTCTAAATCCTGATTTGGATATTTTGTAAATGTGTAAGTTGAACGTACTTTCTTTGTTGTTTACGTATAATGGTGCAATAAATTCATTATCAATGAATTTTTGAGTGCCTGGTTTGATTGATAGCACATCATGAGTTGTGTTCATGTTGTCCTTGCAAAATCGGAGTTGTTCGCAAGTTCTATATGTATAAGAAATCGAGAAAAGAAACATTTGATTTTTTGAGAAAACGATGATATCGCTTTCAATTTTTTTAGACTTATCGATTTCTGCATTACATATCTCTAAAAATAGCTTAAATTTGTGTTTACAACAAGAATACTAGGTGAAATTCCATTGATTTGATCATAAATTACCTCAATTTTAAATTTCAAATTCAGAATTAGGGCGTGGGTATTGTTGGCAAATGAAAGAAAATAATTTTAATGGGGTTGTTAGCTCTACTATATACGTTTATTTTTTAACATGTAAAAAGGATTCAAGAATCAAAATAAAAGGAAATCTTTTCTTTTTCTTGAAATGTCAAGGCAAAAATCCAGACTCAGTTGTGCAGCATTTAACAGAGCAAAATCGGTCTTGCACAATGGAGCTCTGACAAGAGAAGTAGATGCAGCCACCTTTTCCTGTAATTTGGGTAATATCAGTATAAGTGCATAATGAATGCAGTAAGTAAATGTTATTTCGGCTGCAATTAATAATATTATCATTAAATTCTTTGAAATTCGAAGAAAGTAAAAAGAAATTACCAGAAAAGACAGGTTTTTTATTATTTGTAACAGTTGTTGGATCTTTTGCTGGCAATGGATAATATTCTTCCCATATATCAGTGTGAATTCCAGCTTAGTTATAAGCTAGGCTATAAAAATATTGGAATGACGATAACAGTTTTCAATAAAAGAATTACAGGTTCTCTGAAAACAGAATAGTCGTATAAAAATTAAAATGTTTACATTGCATCAAATCCTGAGTTATTTTTAAGATAAACTCTAACATACTATATTTATTTCTTTCAGTTAATCTACTTGCAATTTAAAGCTTTATGTATTGAGATTTACAAATCCCAGTTTAATACACTGAATTTTGGATTCACTATATAAAGTGTCATAATTCTATTTTAATAATTGGCAAGAATTATTTTGCAATACCTAAACAAAGACACGAGTCATCTGGGAATTATCAGGTTGAAAATACTCCAAATAAAATGAATTTTAAAATTTTTATTTAGTTGATGCATCTTGTGAACAAAATTTAACACCGAAATTGCACTATATTATCTTCTTTTGTCTTTTTTGAAACTTCATACTCAAGATCAAGCAAATGAGATTTCACGAGCTTTGTCATTAATGTAATAGCTAAAAGTCTTTGACTAGAGTGATTATTTATAATCTGCGAATACAGCGACTAAAAGCTGCAAAAAAAGAACAGTAGTATATGAGTGCGGGTTGTGTGACTTTTTTTGTTACATCTATATATAGACGATGCATTAAAATATATTTATTTATAAACCATTAAAAAATTAACATTAATTTTAAAATAATTTATTTTTTTATCTTTTATAAAAGAAGCTATATATAGATGATGTCAGATATTCCGCGATTAATTAAACATTGTTTAAATCCTGAATGGGTTAAACTTCAATTTAAAAATGAAGATTGTGAATTATTAAATGAATATGAAAGCCAAAATAAGCTAATGAGGTATAAATATAATGATAAAGAATATTTAATTTCATGGAATCAATGGAGTCATAATCAAAGACCTCATAAACGAGAAGAAGAAATTGAAAATAATGAAATGGAAATCATTGATGACATTAAAGAGGATGGAATTCCTAAATTTTGTAGAAAAACCTTTAGAACTAAGTTAGGAGCATATAAACGTAGAGTATTAAATCCTGAATATCTTAAACATCAATTTAAAAAGGAAGACTGTGAATTATTAAACGCTAATGAATATGAAAATGCTAAATCAAAACTGAGATATAAATATATTGGAAGTGATGAAAGGTGTAAAGATAAAGATAAAGTTTATTCAGTTTCATATAATAACTGGCACACGTTAGGGATAAGAAAACATTTAGGAGATTATGGGAAATGTTCTGAATTCTTTAAATCTAGTATGTACGAGAGAATAAAAGAAATTAGATATAATTATCATTCATGAATGAAAGATTCACTACCATAATGAAATAAAAAAAATAAAAAAATAAACTTTAAAAATTCATGTCTTACATTTTTTGAATAATTTATTTTTTTAATTCGTATGAAAATGAGTGTCAAGACTAACGACGTTAAAAAATTGGGATTCACAAACGAGGAAATAAAGGATATATTAGAGGAGGCGAGTTATGAAGTTAATAAATATTATTTAAGAAATTGTCAAAAATTCGCGGAGTTATTAAATGATTTAGATTATGATGGAAAAATGAATAAAGATGATGTTATAAATTTCTTATATCCCACATCTGAAGAAGAAAAACCTAAAGAACCTGATGTTTTCCCTGAATATTATGAAGAACGGATTAAAGATGATGAATATGATGAAATTGAAAGACTGGAAAAAATAAGAGATGAAATAGATGAAAAAATTAAGGAATTAAGAGAAGTTGAAAAATATAATGAGAATGAAGTAGAGGGTTTAATGAATATCCCAGCTTCAGAATCAGAAGTTCAAAAATCTCATGAAGAAAGATATAAAAATTACTTTTTGGAATCTACTAAAAATTTATTAGATGGTGAAATAGATGAAACACTTTCGGAAGAAGGCACAAAATTTATTCATAAACATAAGTTACAATTTATTGACGATGGAGATTATCCATGTATATTACTTTCACCTCCTCTTGATTCTGAAAAATTCAAAAAAGCACTGAAAAATGTAACATATGCAACAAATACGATTAAGAAAGAAGACCATGATATTTACACAAATTATTATTTAAATAAATGTACAGGTGTTGATAAAGTTTTTGATTTGTTAGATAAAATATCAAAAGAAACAATTGGTACATATAAAATTTTATGCGATTGTGGTTTCATTATTGAAGATACTAATAATGTTTCATATGAAAGAACAGCACCGAAGGAAGACGAAGTTGAAAGGTCTATACCATTCGTTATTAAGAATATAAAAGATATGAAAACTTATAAACATTATATTTATTCATTTATTTCAGAAAAAATGGAAGCAACCCATAAAACATCATCTCATCATTTTATAGCTATTCATACATTCCTTTTCAAAGTTGTGAAATTAAATAAGACAGGAATTAGATTTAATGTATCAGGGTACGCATTCTTGAGTAAATTAAAATGTATTCGTCACGTCGCAGATGATAAAAATTTATGTGTTCTTAATTCATTTTATGGACTTTAGCCCTGGACTTTAAAAAAATAAACTTTATTTTTATTTATTTTTTAATTTTTTATTCTTACATAAATGAACAAAAACGGAACAGCTAAAATGAATGATAATCAAATAAGAGCCGAAGGTAGAAGGTTATTTAAACGCTTCTATAACATTCCTGATGGTGTTAATCCTAAAACTCGTAGAAGTTATTTAAATGAAGCCATAGATGCATATGAAGGATTTGACATTTCATCAGAAAGTGAGAGGTTAGCAAGAATGTTAAACGTTAATATTGATTTTTATTATTGTGTCCCTCAACCAGAAGACGTAGACATAAATAAGGTAGACTTTCCATTAGTGGAATCAATAATGATAGATCCAGAATTTGAAACAGTAAATATTTTATTAACACAGAGTCCATGTGGAAAACTTCACGCTGACAGAATTACAGACGTTGAAGCACTCACAGGATATAAAGTTTGCCCCTTTTGCAAAGAAGAAGTATATTCTATCCGTGATGACCCAGAAAGGAAAAACCAAAGAAGATTTTTAAAGCATTGTGAGAAATGTAAAGAAAATAATGGAAGATTAATTCAAGACGTTCAATTGCAAAACACACAACAACCATATGCACCACATATCACGAAACAGAAGATATATCAATGGCTATTAGCACATAATTTGCAGGAATATTATAAACCAACAAGATATTATATTACTTTTGACTTCGAAACATTAGAGACTAAAGAAGAACTTCAACTTTCTGAATGTGCAACTTTGAACGCTTACTTAAAACCATTTATGGTATCATCAACTGTCAAAATAAAGCCGCAAACGGACTCTTTGAGTCCTGAAGGTCTTTCAGACCGAAGCGGCGAGGTCGTAGACCGTGATAAAACATTTACGAGGAATTTTTGCTTAACATCAAGTGATTCGTTCATCTCTGATTGGATTGAATTTTTATTTTCAACCTGTTCATTAGTTGCTAAATCAAATATTGAACAATATGAAGAATTAATGAAGCCGCAAACGGACCAAACGGCGGGGACTTTGTCCCATACATTAAATGAAAAACAGAAGGAAGCATTTAAAGAACTTCTAGATGAGGAATTCAATAAAGTGAATATCATAGGTTTTAATTCGGGAAAGTTTGATTTAAATTTAATTCTTCGTGATTTAAACACTGCAAAATGGAAAATAAAATCAATGCTGGGTTCTTCTTCTCAATTTAAGCAAATCATTGTAAAGAAAACAAACTGTCCATATGAATTAAGATTTATTGACATCAGAAATTATATAGCGGGTGGAACATTAGACCAATTCACTCAAGATTTCGGAAACAATAAATCACGTGTTAAATCCTTTTTCCCTTATCAATTCATCACATGGGAGAATTACGAAGATGAATTATATAAAGTGGAACCATTCACTCAAGATTCATTTTATTCAGCATTAACTCAAGAAACAATATCCGATTCAGATTATCAAATATATCTCAATGATGCTAAAAATTTTGAGAATAGATTAGAATATTTTATTCATTATTGCAATAAAGACGTTGAAATTATGATTGACCCAATTGATAAAATTATTGAAGAAACATTTGTTTATAAAATTGACATGCTTCATAATCTTTCTTTATCATCGAATGCATCAATGATTCGTTACGCGTTAGCATATAAGAACTTCAATCCTAACGAAACATATCCAGAAGAAGAAAATGTGGAATCAAGTTTTGAATTAACAAAAAAGTATTGGAAATATAAAATTGATTCATATAAGAAACAAGATGAAAAAGCAGAAAGGGATACTAAAAACAATGTTTCAATGGATGACTATCAATACTATCACGATTTAATCCTTTCATCTAAATGCAAAATGTGTGGTAAAGCGTTTACATATGCTAATAAACCAACATTAGATAGAATCGATAATGAAAAACCACATACCAAAGAAAATTGTCAGTTAATGTGTTGTTATTGCAATGTCGTAAAATCAAATAAAGATGAAGATGTTCAACGTTTAAGAATCAATTTAAGAAATTATACATTAAAAAATAATTTACCAATGACTCTAGATTCAGTTGAAGCTTATCACATCCTCCGTAATGGAATTACTGGTGGTTTATCAAATGTTCAACATAGAGTAAATCTTAAAGGAATCACGCACATTAATAAACTTTCATATAATCCAGAAACTAAAACTGTATCAAATGAGGACACTTCCAACATTATGACTCATTTCGTTGGTGTTGACTTTAATTCATTATATCCTTCATCATTTTCATCTAATCCTCATGATTTCATTCAATATACTGACCATAAAATGTATATGCCGGGAAGATTGAATGGTGTTATCATTTGTGATACAGCAACAAAGAAAGCAAAAGCACTGGGAATAATTAAGAAGAAAAATACTTTATTCGTGGCTGAAGTAAAGGGTCACATTGATGAAAAATACATTAATGATTACATAAACTTTTTACCAATAATAAGAAACTTAGATATTATCACAGATGAAAAAACAATTGGCAGTTTTATGTATAATTACATGAAATCAAACAATCTACCAGTTGACCAGAAACAGAGGAAATTAACTCAGTTAGCATCAACACACAACCAATATCAACCATTTTCTTCTTATTATCTTTGGTATCTAATAGACAGATTTCATTTTATCATTGATGACATTCAATCAATTTTAACATTTACGAAAAACACTTGTTTTAATGAATTTGCGAACGAATTTATGAACGAAAGACAAAAGGCTGAATTAGAAGGAAATAAAGGAAAAAGTTTATTTTGCAAGATTTCACTTAATGGATCATATGGTTACGATGCAATGAATACACAAAATTACGCAAAGACTAAAATAATGAATGCACAGAAGGCACGCGTTGCATGTATGTCAAATAAGTTTAAAAACATAAGAGAAATAGGAGAGGATACATATCAAGTGATGCTTAAAGATAGATTTTATAGATGTGATACATGTTTACAAGAGGCATTCTTCACTTTAGATAACGCAAAATACTGGTATTTGGTTTTCATTTATGATTTTATGTATAAATGCATGGATGTTAATCGTTTTCATTTCATTGAAGGTGATACTGATTCATCATATTGGGCAATCGCTGGCGACCCAAATCTTCCTAACACTCAAGCATTTCAAGCAATTGTAACCGATAAAAAATTTTATGATAAAAACATTTTCAAATTCGCACCTTTTGATTTCTTCTGTTTTGATGAGAAATTTAAACCTAAATTAAAGAATAAAGCTGAAGAAAAAGCACATGAGAAAAAATTATTGGGTTTAGCAATTGAGAAACAAGGTGATAACATGGTTGCTTTATGCCCTAAGTGTTATACATCATTCAACGGAATGATGGTGAAGACTTTCAAAAAGATTGCACAAAAAATGAAAGGTGTTAGTTTAAGACAAAATAAACAATTAACACCTAAAAATTATTTGGATATAATAAATGATAAAGTGATATTTGATGGTCAGAATATTAATTTACAACTTAAAAATGGGTCAATGACTCGCTTAACAATTGGTAAGACTGCATTAACAGGAGCACACACTAAAGCTGTATGTTGTGAAAATGGATGTTGTATGCCATTTATTTAAAACACTTATTTTATTTTTATATAAATGGATAACACAGATTTAAAAAATTTAATTGATGATTTAGTATTTAATCAAAAATTTCTTAGTTATTATGAATTAAAATCATATCTCCAAAAATATAATAAAAATATAACGGGTGATGATATGGATTATTATTATTCATATTATAAAAATGAAATTTTGAAATATCATGATAAAATAATTAAACGTTTAAGAGAGAACATTAAAGAAGGAAAATATTCAAAGGGAAAAACTAAATCACAACTTAAACAGTTGAAAGATTTCAAAAATAAAGTATTAACAGAAGAAGATATTGATGAATTATATAAATTATATAAATTATATAATCCTGAGCCACAAAAGCCAAAGGAACAAAAGCCAAAGAAGAAAAAGCCGAAAACAACACCAAAGAGAAAGTAGCAAATGTTCAACAGCTAAAGGTGCAAAACGCCCAGGTCCTTCAGACCATAAATGATGCACAAGCTTTAATTTATGATTCATTAGTTAAACCATATTCAGCCCGACTTTTAAATGAAGATCAACTTTTGGAATTCATCCTTCAACATAAACTCGAAGCGGGAAAGTATATCAAACCTTTATATACAGCATATTTAAAACAAATGAATAGAATACATCCGGAATTAATGAAGAGGGGAATGAAATCCAAAATCAAAGCAGATAAAATTAAACCACTTGACACCAAAACCTCCAACAGTAGTACCTCCTCCTTCAGTTAATCCTTCATCATTCACTTTTATTAATATCCATTTCAAACATTAAAGAAGCAAAAAGATTTTAAAAAGGATTTCAAAATATTAAATAAACCAACTGACCCAAAAATTCAACCGTTAAAGGAAAAATTTAGTCGCCCTTCATTTGCACCATATCCATATTCATACGAAATCGATCATTTAGAATATTCAAGAGGAAACGTTACTTATTTATTTGCCATTAACATTAACACTAGATATTTATATTGCATTCCGGTGAAAGGGAAAACAGAACAGGAAACAAGAAGAGTTATTCAATACTTACTAGATCATGAAAGAGTAGATAATATAAGGAGTGATGGTGATAAAGGATTTCAGGCAGCCATAACTCATTATTTCCCACAAATTAATTTTTACTTCTCATCCTCTTCATATACGTTTCATAATAAAATAGTTGATGCGGTAATGAGAACTCTTAGAGATGCGTTAGGGGTTAACGGTCAAATATACTGGGATGGAAATCATGACTCCATCATACAGCAGTTAGTATATTATTACAATAATACATGGCATAGAACTATTAACATGAAACCAGTGGAAATGAAAAATGATATTTCAAAAGAATGGGAATATATTAGAAAGCAAATGGAAAGGTTGAATGATGTTAAACGTGAACAAATTAATTCGGGGCTCATGAATTTTAAACAAGGGGATAAAGTTTTGATTCATCTCAATTATGGAAAAACTGATAAATCAATGACAAAAAGAAGACGAAGATTTGACACAATAGCTGAATTTGTTAGATATATTAACGGCAATGCATTAGTTGAAGTTGACAATAAATTAATAGAAATTCCGATTTATTTTATTACTCCATTATATTTAAATAAATATTTAATTTTTTTTATTTCGTAAGAAATGAGTAACAACGAAGCAGTCAAGAGTCCAGACGATGAATATAAAAGAAACTAAACAGAATTAAATCAAAAATATGCTATTACAAAAGAAGTCGCAATGCGGTGGGGTTGAAAACGATAAAGAGAGGAAAGAAAATAATCGAAAAATTAGAAACTTATCGTTCAATCCTTAAACTGAGTGAAGCAAAAATAAAAGAATTTAATAGAATAAATAAATTGATTGGAAGAGATGAATTTAATAAAGATGAATTTTTTAAACTCAATCCAAATTTAATTTTTATTCCTCTTCGACAACATCTCTCTTTCCATCATTACCGCATAACCACATTTTCTCAATTTTAGTGGTTTGTTATTTTTAACATGTTCTTGCATCATTTTTATCATTTCCTCCCTTGTTATGATTCGTGGTAAATTTTGAGCTTGTGGGGTATTCATTTATGATAAAAATAAAAATTTGTTATCACTTATTTTATCGTGAAGTGACTCAAAGAGTCCGGAGACAAAGTCTCATGTTTTTAGGTTATTCAATAATTAATTAATTTTGAATAACCGAAGGTGCTACCATGCTACCATGTGCTACCAGGTCATTTAACTTTTCTGAAAAAGTGTGACAACATGACATTTTGACAACAACACAGGAGGAAGGTAGTTATTAATTATTTTTGAATAACCGAAGGTGCTACCATGCTACCATGTGCTACCAGGTCATTTAACTTTTCTGAAAAAGTGTGACAACATGACATTTTGACAACAACACAGGAGGAAGGTAGTTATTAATTAATTTTGAATAACCGAAGGTGCTACCATGCTACCATGTGCTACCAGGTCATTTAACTTTTCTGAAAAAGTGTGACAACATGACATTTTGACAACAACACAGGAGGAAGGTAGTTATTAATTATTTTTGAATAACCGAAGGTGCTACCATGTTACCATGTGCTACCAGGTCATTTAACTTTTCTGAAAAAGTGTGACAACATGACATTTTGACAACAACACAGGAGGAAGGTAGTTATTAATTAATTTTGAATAACCGAAGGTGCTACCATGCTACCATGTGCTACCAGGTCATTTAACTTTTCTGAAAAAGTGTGACAACATGACATTTTGACAACAACACAGGAGGAAGGTAGTTATTAATTATTTTTGAATAACCGAAGGTGCTACCATGCTACCATGTGCTACCAGGTCATTTAACTTTTCTGAAAAAGTGTGACAACATGACATTTTGACAACAACACAGGATTAATGCAAAAATAAATTCCAATCATACTTTATAAAGCTAGACCTTCAGGTCTCGCCGCTTAGCGGCTCATTTACAGGTATTTCATCATCAGTAAATGATTCCTCATTATCGTTTGGTTCAACCTGTTTATATAATCCTTTCATTTCTTCTTTCAAAACATAATACCATGTTTGTTTACCGTCTATTCTTCTATGTTTCCTATCACATTTATCCTTAATACTCATTTGAAAGTTTTTGTCTTTCATGTCTGATGGTTTGCAGAATAGAGCATTTTCACACGTCATACCTGCACACAATTCATCATAATGTGTATTTATCCATACATCTAAAGGATTTGATGATAATTCAATTAAATCTTGTTTGGCTTCAGTCATCGGTA